CCCTCCAGAAAACTGAAAAATTTTGCTCTTGTTGCCACCGTGAAATACGTGTCGTCACACTAGTATATTTTGCAAATTGTTTGCAAGCTGAACCACAGAAATGTATTTAAAACAGAAACGTAAAAAAAGGCCAGAGTTTTTTAGGTTGTGGACATTGCTAGGGCTGACATCTCATCTCTTCTGAGGTGATCCAGAAGATCCCAGATCAAGGACAGGTCGTGTTCGTGAGTCTGGGCTCCATATGTAAAGTCCTTAGAGCTTTCTCAGTGATTGATGACCACTGATACATGTAGTAAAAATCCTAGACCTCTACTGAATTTTGGGAAGGTTCATTAAAAAAGTATTGAGGAATGTTTTTGGGGTTTGGTTTTATTTTTTCCCCTGCGTTTGCAGGTAAACAAGATAAGGTTAAACATGCAATGCACCCGAGGGTTTTAACCTTCAGAGAAAGCTACTATTTAGAGAGAATAACTTTATTTTGGTTTTTGATTGCAGCTTTTGGAAAGCTGTCTAGAACTTCAGCAAAACCAAAATGGAGCACAAGAGACTGGTTAATAAATAGGTTGTAACTGAATAGGCTTTACAGTGACAGGCTATTTCCACATTACTACCCATCCCTGGTGTGAGCAGACAGAGTGAATGTTGTGTGTATGGAGAAATAGAAGATGAAGGGCATTTGCATTTTTTGTACCATGTAACTGAAAATAGCATGATAGGTATTCTGCACAGCAGGTGAGTGTTGCAATGAAGACAAAAAACAATAACAGTTGTGGTTAGGATTTCCAGAATATTGAACAATAGGAAGGGCGTAAAAATATCTTGGCTGTTTCGATTTTGTCAAACAATCATTTTGTCTCAGTCTTGATGTAAAGTAAAGTTTATTGGGCTTTCTCAAATCTATTCCGATTTATTGCAGCCAATAACCATTCTTTACTGACAAATATTCCTACCAAATTTTCAATAATAAAGACGTTGAATAATATTATATAAAGCAGCTCATAGGGAATATATTTAACTGGAATAGTTTTAGATTATTTATACATCTTCAAATCTAAAATCATTATTCTATGGTGTTCACACAGAGCCAAGCAAATTTTAATTTATTTGGTTTCCTCTTCTTTTTCCTCTAAGTATTCTTGAATATTTTATATAATACTGAAGATATAAAGGTGGATGTTTGTTATTAGGAGTAGGCTGGAATAAAAGATGGTGATTAGATAGCTGAGATTCAATGCTCATGCAATGAATTCTTATTTCAGGAATTTTTGTTTTAGCAATCTGGAATTTATTTTTTGTTTTATTTTAATGATGTGGGAAAACACTAGTTAGTTATTTTGTTGGTTAGCATTGCTTCCACAGGCATAGAATCGTAGCATCTTGGATTGGAAAGGACTTTAAAGATCGTCTAGTTCCACCTCTCCTGCTGTGGGAATGGCATATGCAATTTTACTGTCCCTATGTGATTTTATTGGTGATCAGGTTCCAGTAATTTGATTATGTAATTACTTAGCAGTTTTGAAACATGTCTTCATATCTAAAAGTCTGACTGAATTTACATATGAAGCTTTTCAAAACTGCCTTTGAAAATCTTGGCTCTTGTAGCTTTAAAACTCATGTGAAAATTGTTTTAGAGCTTTTACAATATACACAGAACTTCAATTTTTGGTAGAATATTGTATTTTGTAACATTTGGCAATTCAAGTCCCTTTATTGGCTGAACTGTCGAATCCAAATTAATGCATTCAAATATTTTAAAAATCCCTTATAGTATCACTGAACTTTTGCACTTTCGCAGTGAAATTGTAGCCTGATAGAATTACCTTTTTTGGAATTAGTGACTGTGCATCACTATTCTCTCTATTTAATAGAGATAAAATTTGATTAAGTTGAAGGAGACTTGGAAGTACTTGCATTTTTCATTATACAGATTCAGAACCTTTCTGTCTGTGATCATAAAAGCTGGTGATGTGATGCAGATGGAATGCATACTCTTACTGACTTTTTTTTAGATTCAGTCTCTACAAAATCCATTTGCTTGGTTGATTTTTTTTTTAATCCCAAAATAAAAATGCAAAAAATAAATTTGTGTGGGACATCTTCTCCAAACTGGTTATGTTCAGCTTTGCTCAATGCACCACTTTTTTTTTCTCAGGTGAAGGAAAGCCAGTGGTAAGCTTTCAGATGAATTAAAAATAATGGTGTTGTTCATTTTTAGCATCTAGTTGATTTGTGAACATCTGAATGTGCTTGCATTTGTTACCTTCCATTTGTTATGTAAAATCCTCATTGCATCCTTTTTGTACTTACCAAGGCAGGACTGGACTAAGTAAAAAGCAAAACCAAAATTTTCTGATCTTCCAGTAAGCTATACCATGGCGCCCTGTGCCTACCTTACACCAAAGATGCCCTATTTATATTTATTAACCCTTAATGGATTTTGTTCTCCATCAAATTTGACCTACAGCTTTCTAACTATATTAACTTCTAACCTACTCACACTTTCAGTTTTGGTTTTCTCTACATGGTGTCAAAGAGAATCTCTTCTTGTCTGTACTGATCTTGCACAGGGTATTTTCATTTGGTACCATCTTGTATTAGAAGAGAAACATTAGTGTTTTGTACCTTATTCTTCATCTTGTTACTGATGATTTTGTAGTCTGGTTTGTAGGCCGAGCAAACATACTGAATGTAGCTGTTTCTCACACAAAGTTGTTTCACACTTCAAATAATCTTATTTGTCTTTCTCCTATCCCTTTTTCATTTATTTTATTTCTCTTTTTAATTTGGGCAGAGCAGAACTGCATATAGTGTTCATTGTAGTGTGCCTCAGGAGTTAATAAAATCTGTGATTTATGAAGCTGCTCTGTACTCCCTCTCCCAGTAATTTCTAGCCTTCTATTGACTTTCTAAACTAACTTATCTGATGCTTTTATAGTATTATTCTAACCCCAAGTTCTAGTTTCTGTATTACGTCTGTACATCTATTATGAGTACATGGAACAGTACAGACCCCAAGGATACTTTCTCTTTGGAAGAAAATTGCTAGATGAGAAGTTGTAAAATTTGGAATGTGAGAAAGTTAACAAATGCTTTAGTTTCTATGAACCATGTGGTGTTGTTCACTTGCTTATTTCTACATGTTTCACAGGACAATTTTTACACAAAAACATTACATTTATAAAAGGATACAACAAAACTATCTGTTACAGATAGAGCATGAGTGCTATTGAATTTTACAAGGAAGCTACCCATGAGAATATCTGCAGGATGACTTTTTGCCAAAATAAGTCTTGCATTTTTTCTTAATAGCAAGAGTCTCCCTCCCTCTCCTCAATAAAAACTGCTTAGTGATAGGAAAGATTGGTATTGCTGAATGAAAAATGGCAACAGCAATGCACTGGACAGTTTTGGCTTACAAGTAGTTTAGTGAATGGAAAAATGTAGAGAGCTTAAGTAATAGGGGTGATGAAAGATTTATTGAACTTGCTTTATCTGAATAGATTAATAGAATAGAATCATGAAGCCTACTAGATTTTGAATGAATTAGACATAAAATGCTTAATCTTCAAGTACTACTTCAGTGAAAATCTCACCATAGTTGAAGAAAGAGGAACACAGATCTAAAGATTCTCCCTGTTTCTTTGATATTGGGAAAGGACCCTTGCTGATAAGATCCAACACTTATATGGAGGCATGCTGTATGTGAGATGAAAATGCTGCTATCCAAGACTGGGATTCTGAAGGTTTAAATTTTTGTGGCATGAAAAGGGCTGAGGAAAGGATGTATTGCCCTCTCCCCAACCATAAGAAAGACCTGTACTGAAGGCTTGAAAATGTCAGCAGTCCTCAAAGCTGTTTTTTTTCGTTTGTTTGGTTTGGTTTTGGTTTTGTTTTAAATGTTCTCTCTTCTCTATTTCTTGACTGGTTAGCATCTTTCTTCTCTGTAGATACTTTGCTTTTCAAACTGGGACCAGTGCTGCTTTTTCATATTGCATGAGAAATCCAGAATAAGCCCTATCATAAACTGCCTTCTTCTCCTCATAGCTCAGTTCCTTGTGTGCTTTCCTTATTAATTGGTTATCCTTCTTTGCCTCTATCTGCTGACGGATTTAGGTTTTTGACTCAGTCTCAAAATGCCTGTTACTCCTCCACTTTGAGCCAGACTTAATCTTCCCTTTATGATTGGAGAGCACATGGGCTTTATCATTATATTTTTCTTGTAACCTTTCCCCAAAGGGAGATTTTGTTCCAGTGTAAAAGGTCTGATGTTGTTCAAACTGGTATGGCTGGCTTGATAATATCCCAAGGTTCAGGGTCCTACAGTGCAAAGCACATTTCAGAAATGTACAGTAATGACAAAAGATTCTATTGTGGTTATTTCAGGCTTTTTACAGTAGGTCTCCCACATTAGATTCTGAGGTTGCAGTTATCTCTTCTTACTTCTGTTTATCAAGTTATATGACATTATTTATTGCTGTATAAGCTCATCTTATAATGGGAACTTTTTTGATTATTTTTATATCATCATGAAGATCATAGGCTCAGTAATAGGATGACGTTTAATTAAGACAGTGACCTTAGTTTCTGAGAGCTACTTCTGTGATCCATTTGTTCCGCCAACAGCATTAATTTATCACTCATCATTTATAGAATAATTGTCTACTAGAGGTTGGGACATACTTTGAAGTTTTGACTTGTAAGAAAACATTTGTTTATTCCCAATTATTGACTTCCTTTCTCGGGCTAAGGCAACTGTACAGTGTCACTAGTCTAGAGTTTTGTGTAAGTCCAACTGATCTAAGTCTTAGGAAGGAGTTCCTGACACTATATTTTTAAAAGGAGTTTTTCTCTCCACCCACTGATGTAAGATTCCATATATAGGAGGAAGTCTTCAGAAAATAAAGAAAGAGTCAATGCTGCCGGGGTCTGTCAACAGCAGCTGCTGTTGACTAAAGCCAAGTTCAAGGAAAGAAGTTCATTATATTCTTGTGTATCTCTAGGAATCCGGAAAGACCGCAGAGGTGGGCGAGTGATGAAACAAAAGCGTCAAAGAGAGGAGCAGGATTCCAGGAATGGGGAGGCTTCTTCAACGGAGCTGCGAGCTCCCACCCTTTGGACAAGTCCACTGGTGGTTAAACATAACAAGAAGAACAGTCCAGCCCTATCCCTGACGGCAGAACAGATGGTCAGTGCCTTGCTGGAAGCTGAGCCACCTCTAGTTTATTCTGAATATGACCCAAATAGACCATTCAATGAAGCCTCTATGATGACCCTGTTGACCAACCTTGCAGACAGAGAATTAGTGCACATGATCAACTGGGCAAAAAGAGTTCCAGGTAAGGAAAAACAAAAGCCAGCAGTGGACTATAAAAGCCTCTAGATGACAAACCAAAAGAAAAAAACATACTGATTTTTCCACTACCTATTATTTAATGAAAATTGTTCATTTAAGTATAAATACATTAAGAAAATTAACAATATTAAACAAATTTTAAGTTATATTGGTTGATAAAATACTGTAGTGGAACATAAGTGACTTTTGAAGAAAGATTGATTCAAGAGAAGATATTTCCCCACACTGTATAATATTGGGCAGTTCTTGATTGAAAATTCTTTTATTTTCAGATAACACTCAGCAAAATTAAAGGTAGGAAGAGATTGTTAGTCAAATTACTAGTCAAATCTAATCAATGTGATCTAATAAAAGTATTTTAACTATTTTGATCCCTTTTGGAAAAAAAGGGATTACTCTCATATCTATAATGTAAGATATAAATTCAGCATTACTAATAAGCCCGTAAGGATTAGTATTAATTATTTCATTCCCAGTTTATATTTTTGAATAGAAATTACAGACCTTTCATTAATTGTGGGTCTGAAAAACAGATCCAGAATAGCAATTATTGTAATAAAAATTTTTCCTATTAGAAAGAAATGTTTTTATCTTTATCACTTTGGTGCATTATGGCTGCCTCTTTTCTCAAAGGGAATTACAAAATTGTGGCACATATGTAACATTTTTGCTTGAATGTATGTTTCATATTCATTCATGTGGTGTAAATTAATTGATATAAATGAAATGAGGGAGTAGTTTTCTATTTAAAGTGATGAACTTTTAAAATTTCAGTCTACATGACTACTTTCCATTAGATAAGATTTAAGGGTTTATTAGAAATTTATTACATGTGCTGTACTTTTATCTTAGTAAAAATACTGGCATACTGGTAATTTATACTTCCTAATTCACTGGGATTCTGATCTCTTAAGTTTTTTCTATGGTCACTTACTGCTTTATGAAGGGATGTTAGAGAAGACCACCACAACTCTCACTAACTTAATGCATTACCTCAACAGAATTACAACCAGGTTATGCCATTTTTCTGTTTTCCTTCATTTAAATTTGACAAGACTGCTCCTGGTAAATTATTAACCTTGTCTTTTGCAGTCCTCAGGTGTTCCATTTTAACCAGTTTTCACATGTTACTTTGTGGGCTCCAGCTATGATCAGTGAGAACTTGTTTCATTTATCATTGTATCTTATAAGAAATCACCTAAGAATTTTATTCTTGACAAAGTCGCAGTGTTTTAGGCCAGCTCTTCAGCCTATTTGAGTCAAAGGCAGGTTCTACTGTTAATTTAGATATGTTTTGGACCATGCCCTTACAAAAATGATTTTGAAAAAAGAATTAATGTTCACAGTGTTAAAGACATTCACTATCAAAACTGATAAATAAATGCAAATTACTTTTCTACTGATTTTTAGAGATATAATTAAGTCTAAGTCTGTTAAAATAAATTAGTTTACATTCAACATGAATATATCACATTCTAAGTTTATTATGTCTTCCAACTGGAGATATTTGACTTCCATGACTTTTGATTTTGATATTGGAATTAATGGAAATATTAATGGAAATGTGTTTAGACAAAAAGTAACACTACCAGAGAATTCAGATCTGGCTTTTATTCAGAATTTCCTCTGAAACTGTCACAAGACAATTACAGCTGGTGATGATCAAAAAACTGCCTGGTAAGCAAGCCTTTGACATCAGAAAATCAAATGTATAAGGTTATCAACTATTTGTTTATATCCAAGGCATTTTACATTTAAATTGCCTGTTAATTGTCAAAATAACTTATAAGGAGAAACCAAGCCCAATGACTCTATGTATATGCATTAATAAGTACTCTAACAGGTGAGGTTTGATATAAGACTGAACTTTAGTGAAAAATAAAACCCCCAAATCCCTTCCCAGTGATAGTTTGATCTATTAGGCACTGTACAAACAATTATACCAAAGGAAAGTCCTAAAGCAGGAGAGATAGAATAAAGAGTTTCGGGATTCTGGAAGTGCTGGATACCTAGCTAATTCTTGGTGTTGTGACCTGGAGAACAGTATGCATGAAAAAAAGCAGAAATTAAAGTGTTTTAGAATGTTGATTTAAAAGAATTCAGGCCCAATTGTTTACCTACCTCTAAATTTGGGGCTCCTCAGAGTAGTAAATTTGGATCTAAGTGCTTAAAATATATATATATATATATATTTTAATCTCTCATTTGATCCTTAGAAAAAGTTGAGTGTACTGTGTTACTGATATTACACTTTAGAAGTAATGATCAACTTTCAAAGACAGGACCTTTGCTTGCCAAATTTTCCTTCTGCTGGAATGCACTGGCAATAAATATACAATAAGGAAATGTGTCCAACAACATAGGTCACATTTTCATCTCCAAGTATGTTGCCTAGGAAGACTCCATTATTACTAGGAATTAAGCAATACTGCTTAATCAGAGAGGATTTTTGTATACTATATGCATAAACAGAGGAACTGAATAACTTTTCACTGTTAGGTGAAGTATTTTGTGCAACAGTGTTGTGGGATGCCACTCAGTTATTTTCAGAGCTAATTTACTAAGGTTTCAAGCTTCAGAATCAAGGATAAAACCAGCCTTTTTTCTAAAAAGAGAGTGTGCTTTTTGCCAGTAGAAAAAAGGCAGTTGCAGGAAACAGCCTCTCCTATGCACACTTCTCAAGCCTTGTAAGCATTTCATAAGTTCATTTAGGTACATACAGGCACTTAGCTGTAGGAAAGCAAGGAACAAAGTCTGTACCAGTAGCCGAGTTGAAAGCATGTTTGTTGAGGAAGGAAGAAATTGATATCAACAGAACAGAAAAACAATGAAGATACAGCTTAAAAATAAGTGTAGGGACTGTCAGGGACATGTTTGTAGTTTATTCTGCTGTGTAGGCTTTAAAGAATAGTTTTTGGTCAGCAGTCTTTCTGATGATATAAATAGATGGGCATGGAAGAAGAAACAGCTAATCAGATGTACTAGATAAGACTGAAACAATTCTACAAAATGGAGTAATGAATAGTAATTTGTGATGGACTGTGTAGTATAATGTGGTCAGAGATCTGTTACTAAGGCATGCTGAGGGCAATCTTCAGACTGAGGTATCTTTGCAGACATGCCCTGATTGGGAAGATGAGAACTGTTCTAAGTCCTTATTGGAACTAGGTTGGCTTTAGTTCGAACTTGCTTAAATTGGCTCTGCAGTCTTGGTGGTGTTAACCAGTTTCTGGGGAAAAGATAACTTAGCCTTAAAATATATCTTCAATATTTAAATATAACACGATTTTTATCTGAGGTCATAACCACATTCCCCCATGATAATGCAATTCATAATATGACAAGTGCATAAAAGCTTGTTTTAATTTTCCTTTGAAACCTTGGCCACTAATATAAGTGGATTTGCCAGACGACATGAACAAAAATCTTATACGTGTCCTATGACATGCACAAAAAATCCCAGGGTGCCCCATAGGACTCACTCTTTACATGGCCTAATGGGGATTTTGGCTGAAGTCCTGACAGATGGCCTCTGAAAGACACTAATTGTGCCTTCTGATTATTCCAGCCAGCTGGAATAGCTGGCAGCTGTACATGAGGTGGGTGCAAGCAGATTGTGATGGGCTAGACTTACACGTGTAAATTGAGCCTTTTAACATTTCATTGGGATAAATCACTGAAAATCACATGTAAGCAAGGTATCAGCTTAGATGAATAAATCTGCTGCTCATTTTTGAATCACATATTCCTGAAATATATGGCCTCCTATGTCCTCAGTTTACATAACATCTTGGGGATATAGTACCCCCTTCAGAATGAGGTTTTTTAGTTTACTGAATTTTCATCATAGTCTGATGCAATAAGCAAAGCCACTACTTTGCTTTTCTACAGAAATGCTGATATGTCAAAGGAATTAACTTATTATACTTCATTATTCACTTACTGTCTATATAGTTTAACATCTTACTTGGAGTACTGTATTTTCTAAATGAAGCTGCTATTTTTAGTGTTATCATCAATAATTTCTTTATGCGGAATCTCTTGAAGATGGTTGGTAAGAGACATTATGAGCTTATACAGTGAGCCTGTGGTAGAGATTGTAGCTTTAAGGGAGTTTTGTTCCAAGGGTGAAGTCTTTGGCATTACTGCTACAATCTTGTGTAACTATTTACTAGAAGTACAGTAGCTGTACAACTTAATAGCCCTAAAATGGTACACTGGGCATACAGGCTTTGAAGTTTTGAGGTGATTCACAGTGCTGTACTTATTTTATGGCTTCATGAACCGAGGAGATAAACATTTTGGCACTGTTTTGGATTTGGTTGGTTTTTTTTATTTTCTGTATTTCAAAGCCACAGAAGTTGCTATTTTCTTAAGATATTGATTTCCTATTTGACCTTCTAAACTGCTCTGTTTGTCAAATTAGGAACAGTGTGTAAAGAGACCAACAATAGCCACAATTTTACACTGCACTTCAGTGACACCAAACTAAAAAAAAAAAAAAAAAAACACCAAAAAACAACAAAAACTCAAAAAAAGTGGAAGGAAAGAACTCTTGTATGAGGGTGGTGTGTGTTTATAACTTTTTAGGTGCAGGATAGGTTACAGAGCTTCTAAGTGTAGTGATCCTCCTGGCAATAATTTACACTTAGCTTAGAAAAGGAATGGATTGCAATTCTTGTAATAATTTTTAATAACCCTTGCAAGATATCTGTTTTATGGGCTCTTCTCCATTGCCTAACTGACTTGCTGTGGAGATTTCTAAAATGTTATTAAAAATACACCCCTTTGCTTATCTCTTTAATCTGTTGAAGTGATACTCTCTACTCCACTGTCTTCTTAGATGAACAACAGAGGAAGCAAATCTGTAAGCAAAAGAGAAATGATAACGGGAATCTGGATCTTACTTTATGGCTACTTTTTACCAATTTAATTTCTGTGAAGTTTCAATTAATTATTGTGAATGTAAGAGATAAGAATCAA